TGAGCTACTTATGTTGATATAAGTAGTACATAACGTGCGTTGAAAGAACGTAATGTCTGGCAGCGGAAGATGGCGAAGATCAAGAAAGGTAGAGTGAGAATACAATGGAGTTTGTAAGAAAATGTATGAACAATGGAATGGGAGACAAAGGATTGGTGTTTGCAACAGAAACAGTCCAGTTTGATTTGATGCATGAATATTTTGCAAATTGACGATTGACTATATGGTATTCAGATTTTGTTGAAATAGACTGTAATTGTTGTGCTAAATACACCCGTTTGTCTCCACCCGTGTTCTCGTTCACTACAGTAGACCTTATTTCTAAAGAGTTACTGACCGGCAAGCATTGATGGTGAGGGCGGTGACTTCAATCCACCCATGTTTGTGTGGCAGAACATTTTGTATGTATCAGGCTCTTTATGATTGAGTATAAGTCAGTCAATCTGTGATATAGATTCTCTTCGTACACTCACCACTCAGACCCATGTTTCCAATTTTATGCTGGATTAGCTATTCTTCCGGAGCCATTAAGCTGAACAGCGCACAGACGACTGTTAACGGGCATCCACTCTAATAGTGCTTATTCTGCCCTCGTACTTGATGCTATGCCTACACCTACCAGTCCGCGGGAACTAGACAGCGGGTCGCCAAACACACGGTGTTTCTCGTCGGCTCTCCGTCGAGGTCAAGTGAATGACCACACTAGGATCCTATATGCGTGTTTTAGAGACAGCATACATCAATGGTACGAGATTCTAGAGTTTCAGCCAAGGAGGCTTGCTGTCAGATTCGACATATGTTGAAGGCTTCAATGTGTAGTTTGGAGCGAGGTTTCACTAGACTTGGAACAGTGTTTTGAGCACTAAAATCGTTGGCTATGGTGACACTTGAGGGGGAAGCCAAAAGAGAAAGGTTGGCATCGTAAGCCGATCGAGGCGGAATAATAGGGATTGAAGAGAGAGATTGATTATGAATACAGTGGTCTTGAGTTCTGTTAGAGGTATGAGGGCGGTTGCCACTCCACGGTTGCCCACAGCATGGAAGGGTTCTTCTGGAGATTCCCAAGAAACAACTGCGTTGAGGTCGGTCACACTCGACCTTTTATGAGCAGTTTTTGTGTTAGCTCCGTATATGTTGAGACTTTGCCGCCAGAAACGGATATCCGTGGGATAAAGCGAGGTGTACGTTTTTAGGGTCGACCTTTTCTAACCCCACCCCTCCTTGTGGAAAGGCAGCATCTCTGTTATTCTGTTTGTCTGAAGGAAGCGCCTTACTGCCGTCACACTGTACAGTCAGCAATACGACTTCGCCTTCGGACCTTGTGTTTGCTACTTTTAGTCTTACCGTTCTTCAACTGACCTGTCTGGCATGGTAGAACTTTGAGGAACAATTGTTTCAGCTAGTATAACTCGACTGGTTCATCACGATAGGCGCGCCCGATCACCACGTCAAATAGCGACAACGGTCGGGAAAAATGAAAGCCATGATGACGATAAAAACTGATCTTACAGGAGACTTCAATCAATCATAGCGAAGTACTCAGGAAAGGACCTCACCATCCTGATAGAAGATATGAACACCAAAGTCGGAATGATCAACACCGGATATGAAGATGTAGTGGCACTGAACAATGGTCACACAATCCTCAAAGCTGAACACGAGACTACTCGGAAAATATATATTCAGTATTTAACGCGGAGAAATAGCCAACGATGGAGAAGGCGGGAAGAAATATTGAATGAATCGGAGTTGATCGAATGGCATGGCTCGGACATGCAGGCGTGGTCCCTCTTCTATTCATAATAAATATATTGTTTCTTCTCTAGCCTAACCTTGTTCTACATCATGCATTGGTAATTGATACGATACAGTGAGTTGGTGTAGTCGATGGTGTGACTTCCACGTAAGATCTTATAGATTAGGCAGTTATATCATGACAAATCTACCTGTCTCTTCTTTCCTATACACACGAACAAATGCAGATGAAGACAACTAGTGTGGAAGCAGTCTCTGCATCAAGAAGCTTCAGTATACACGAAAGAAAAGGCAAGATTCCGAAATACAATACGTAGAACACTGAGCTTACGACAAAACTCTGGAAGAGGTAAAAAATTTCACGTACCTGAACAGCATCATCGATGAACAGGGAGAATATGATGCAGATGTAAATGTTATGATTGGCAAAATAAGGACAGAATTCCTGAAGTTTACCAATATATGGAACTCAAAACAACTATCTCAAAGCCAACATCAAATTGAGAATCTTCAATACGAACGTCAGGGCAGTTCTACGGTACGAAGCTGGCGCAACCTTCATCAAAAATGTATGGATATTTATAAACGATTGTCTACTCAAAATACTCAGTGTCCGCTGGTTGGATATCGTCAGTAACAGCCTACTGTGGGAGAGAACAAACTAGGTTCCAGTTGATGGGGAAATTAGGGAAATTCACTGGAGGTCGATGGAGCATACATTATGGAAACCATCAAACTGTATCACACAGTAAGTGCTAACTTGGAATCCTGAAGGAAAACGGAAAAGAGGAAGACCAAAGTACACATTCAGTCGGGAGTTCGAGGCAGACATGAGAAGGATCAATAGTGATTAGAGAAAACTGAAAGGGATTGCCCAGGGCAGAGTTGGATGGTTAATGTTAATGGGTGGCCCATGATCCTCTACGATGTGTAACAGGCGCAAAATGCCAGAATTATTTGGGCATTTTTATCCCTTGACGTATGTGGACCGTTTCACACGATGGCCGGAAGCAGTAGCCATCAATGATATTATTGTTGAAACAGTTACCATCGCCTTCATCGAACGATGGTTTTAAAACTTTGGCTGCCTCTCAGCAGTCACTGGAGACCGTGGACGTCAGTTTCAATCCAAACTTTTCCGTTGTCTAACTGCACGACTAGGAGTCATATCATTCTGTGAGACTGCCTACAACTTACAGAACGATTTTACCGACAGTAAGAAGCTTTTCATAGTGAACTGACTCCCTTCTACTCATGTAACGTGATGTTTGGCATGCTATGAAAGCACACACTGCGACTGGACTCGTTTGTTGCACGACACTCCGACTTTCAGAGAATTTATGGATCCTTAATCTTATTCAATGACTATGGTGTAACGTCCAAGTTTTGCTCGTCCCGTTATTGAAGTACGGTACATCGATCTATTTACGATTTACGAACTCAAATTAAATTAGAACCAAGCTCCAATTTCGGTAACAAAGTTTATTCGCAATTTACAAATAGTCGACCTAAATGTCGTTCTAAAAGTAAATATAGCAATTATAGAAACAAACCTTCAATTTTGTAGGTTCCCGGAGCAAAAGTTCCCAAATACTAATTCACAGACAAACCAAAATGTCCGAAAATAATGGAATATACAAACAAGTTCAGAAGTTGAGTAAAACAAATACATCCAAGAACACAGTGAAATTAAGAATATTTAACATAAATGTTTCAATCAGCTAAATATCTTCAGTTTTCCCGTAACACTATGGGTCTAAATTCTCACGCGAACAGGCTTACAAACTCCACGAGTTCAGTGAAACCTGATATAAATCGACTTACATCAGCTGGTGTTTTCATTCAACCTGCTTTTTGATACAGTATACTCGTTTTTGTACGTCGTATTTCATAACGCCGACCCCTCAAAACGGCATACGAAGAAACCTTCACAGTCCTTCGTAGCAAACGTAAATGCTATATAATCGATAAGACGGAAACAACAATAACGTAGGCATTGACTACTTTAAAGCCGCGTACTCAGGAGGGAACCTTAATAATGCTTTTCATCGTATGCAATCAAATAACACGAACCTCACAATTACTATACCTTCCCTAATAATCAACAATCATGATCAAACTACACCGCTATCCGTAAACCGGCCCACAACAACGTGCTCTGGGAGAAGGGGGAGGTTCCGGGAATACTTAAACCGTTACTGAGGGTGGGATACGGAATGACATTTTGTTTTATCTTGTTTGTTGTTATTGATTAAACAATGAAACAAATATTGTTTCTTTATTCACAGGTTTTGTATCCTTACTCATGTACGAGTTTATTTCAACATGCATTTACAATTTTCTTCTTACTGAGGAAAGTTGGAAAAGATGGAAAACCGACGAACAATACGATGAATAGAACTTTTCATTGTACGTCTTTCGTTTCTGTTTTGCACCACATTGGGGAAAGACGACCAGATGCTGCTAAACATAGCGAGTTATCAGAAGAGTGTTTAACACGGGCAAGTTCGTTGGATTTAAACTTTTGACTGGCTACAACTTACGGTCACCACTACTCCACTAAGGGCGGCGTGGGCTGTAGTGGTGAATAAATTACCAAAGTAAATAGTTCTGTTAGTCTTCGACATTGATGCTGACTTCATTGGTTTTTCTGGACAAACCTTCGCTGCAGGTGTTCGGTCACTCATCCGCACCAGATAACGAGTGAGTAGCTCGTGCTACTCATCCATTGCAACTGTTAGTCAGCTTAGACCAAGCGCTCCTCAATTCATGGATATCTTGTCAAATATATATTTGGACTCCTCTATTTCTGACTCCTAATTTAACTGAGGAGGTATCCTTTGATTACAAAGATGTTGCGTGTTAGTTGATTGAATAACTCTGAATACCTGTGGCATCTTCATGTTAGACTGAGATGAAATATTGGGCAGACGGTGACAATAAGCCGTCAATACTAAAAGTTTGAAAAGGGTGACCTGACTCTGTGTAAGTTTTCATGGAGGATATTTACGACACTTGCCACAGATACACACTGATAACTCCTAGTGCTTCAGGTTACGAGGTTTCGTTAGAAGTATGAGAAACAGTGTCAAATATGACCTTAAGACAAAGTGAAAAGTCCGCCAAACATTCACCAAGTTTCTTTATATTGCAATGTTGGTTGAAGATCATACTTAACTGTTTAAGTCAACAATATATTGATGACTGATTTAAGCTGACTTCTTCATAAGACATAACAATATAACTGTTTAGATAATCTTCAGACTATAGGACATACGTCTTTGGTTAAAGTCACTCCATAATCAACAAAATCTGTTCCAAACTTATTTTTGGTTTAAACCAACGTGTGTGTTGTTTAAATTCATACTTTCCTCAGTAGTTAGGCTGGGTTGAATTCCTTGGGGCTGTTTAGATACCTTGTTATTATGAGCAAAATTCCCAGAAAAGGTGAGAGTTTAAGAGATCATGTGAAGTGTTTTTGTGTATAAATATATTTTTAAGACTTCGTATGCATGCACTCACATTCTACCTGATCTTTCTTTTAGTCGTCGCCCTACAGAGCAAGAAGAAAAACAAGCAAATTAAGAAAAATGCCCCGAAAGACAAATCTATTGGAAACAAATGGTAAGTTTTGTCCCTGCTTTTACGATTTTACTGGATGGTTTTGCTACTATCAATATCGGCATTTTGGAACGTCGTGGAACTACGATAACTATTGTCCTGAATTAAAAATCGCATTTTGTTAATAATACAAGATACACAATATCAGATGACTCATTCTACTGTGTTTAATGCGTTTTCTTTCGTAGTAACGGTGCCGTAGAAGACCGACTTCAACCACAGGACGACGCCACGCCAAAAAATGAACAAGAGCCAACATATTGTGAGTACTCACGAGATGAGGAAGTATTAGAGGAGGAAGAAATTCTCGGCAGTGATGACGATGAGCAAGAAGACCCTCGGGATTACTGTATAGGTTAGTACTCTACTTAATTAAATTTATACATTCTAGGTGGATATCATCCAGTTAAGATCGGGCAGGTATACAATTCACGTTACCACGTCGTCCGTAAGCTTGGTTGGGGTCACTTTTCCACTGTGTGGTTATGCTGGGATTTATGGTTAGCTCAATATTACATTGTACTAACATCTATAGTTCAAAGCGTTTCGTTGCAATGAAAGTAGTCAAGAGTGCTCCGCACTACACAGAAACAGCTCTTGATGAAATAAAGCTGCTATCATGCGTAAGTTTCCGGTAAAAAGATAATTTGGTTAGGTCCGCGAATCTGCCCCAGATGACCCGTTCCGAAAAAAAACAGTTCAGTTGCTAGATGATTTCAGAGTGTCTGGTGTAAATGGGAACCGTATCCTTTTATCTTATTGCTCATTTACTCGTACACATCGGGTTTTCTAATAACAACTACATTTTCGCCATCTTTATTATGTGTAAGGAGACACCTTAGCCATACACTGTCATACCCTTAGATGTTGAAACTGGGTCCATCCAGTGACTCGTTACAATCTGCCAATGTATGGGATGCTGTACGTAAAATCACCACGGTACCCATCAGCAGTAAGGTCTTGGCAGTTTTTGAAAATATCTGGCTCGTTGCATACCTTCTGCAATTTGTGCCTCCATTTCGCGTTGGCAAACCACTTGCCATAAAATCTCCATTCATTTTGCCAGTTATATAAATCTTATGCACAGATTTCACAATGAAGCTCACTGATAAATTCCAACACTTCACAATCCTGGGTTCTCAGTAGTCCATGCATTTGGTTTGTATTTTAATTTCCACTTGTCGATAGGAAGTTAAATTCAAGCTACTTTGTATCAGCATATAGGAATTACCGTGTAATTATTTTTAAGTACATGCTAACAACCACAATATTCATAATCTCTCATGTTTTGTTTTTCTTATATGAGGTCTTTATGCTATTGATTTCTTAACCATTAATTAGATGTTTGTATGATCTTTGAGGTTCTTGGCCATAATTTATTAAAGCTAATAATCAGGTCTCAGTACCGAGGCATTCCACTCGAAAATGTTCGTTCTATTATTAAACAAGTAAGTATAGATTATCTTATTTCCCTCTAATGTTCGTGGCTTCTAGGTTTCCTTCTGTGTCGCTTTCACGGTTTTGTTTTTAATGTGTTTTTACATTATTGATGCTCAAGCGAAATTAGCTCAGGCTATGCATATATATATATATATATATATATATATATATATATATATATATATATATATATATATATATAAAACTAGTCAATACACGCACTTCGTTTCAAGCATCCCAGAAAGTTACACAGCCGGTTAACTGGATTGTCAGTATAGCAAGTATCATTTTGCAAATGATGTTCTTGTAAATTCAAACAGATTTCAGTAAGAAATATTAACCATTATAACGCTAGATCAACGTAGTGGCTGCATTAAATAACTGATTAGAAAGATGTGCGAATTAACTGCTGGTTACCTGAACCATGGGACTTGTTTATTTGAGAAGTCAGAGTACTTCGGTATGTTTGATAAGCTAAGCGTATAATCATCAAGAGACTAAATCTGAGTGATATTCTGAATTTTCCTCACAGATAATCCTTGATAGAAAGTAGACATTTGTTGTTTTCAGCGTTCATTTTTTGAGGACCAGGTGTACTGAAACTGGTTTTAATAAGTCTCAGTATTTTGTAAAACAGTTGTATCATTGATACAGGAAGTGAAATAAGCCCTACTCACAGCATCAGTAAAAGGCCACTAAGCGTAAGCTTACGAAGCGTTTGTGCTTCCCTGTAGCTTGTGACAATCACTAAGTTTGTGATCCTAAGTTAGGAGATTGCAGAAACTCAGTCCTCGCTCCCGAAGTATCAATACCATGTAAGCTGTACTGAGGAAGTGAAGCAGTTCGTCACGTGAATTTTCATCTTCCATTAATGTATGCAGTTATATGATAATTGCTCTCAAAAAGCAGTATTAGGTGAGGTTTAGGAACATTTGTGGAACTTTTGTTTATTCATCTGAACACAAATATTGGTACAAATAAAAATAAATATGCGCCACACAAATAAATGAAATTGTGAAGTGAGAGTGAATATGATCGTGAAACAAATGAGTAAAAATAATCAAACGAGGATGTATCATGGGGAAACAGTTCACTTAGGAAAAATACAATACAAAGTCCTAGTTATAGCAAGGCTGTCACTTGCTCCTGTCCTAAACTGTCTGATAATCTCAAGTCACCAAGTCTCATTGTCTATCGGACCCCAACCAGAGAGTCGTGATGGACCGATGACAGCTTCATACAGCTTTCGTACCCCAACACCGTATCATACAGTGAATAACCCCGCTTTTTCCAACCATTTTTGATATTGGCAAATAAAACACGGTATTTTATGTTTGGTCATGATGTGTAAAGTCACTAAAACCTAATCATCGTGGGATTCTCAGTGTCGTCGTCGACTAAACTGTTAGCCCATTAGAACGTATTATTCTTTTATGGTCGAAAATATACTTAATCTATTGTTTTAGGCCTTTAATAATAAAATAACATGCTTTGTTTAATAAATGATTATCTTGTCTTTAGACCCTTCAAGGACTTCATTACTTGCACACAAAGTGTCACATTATTCATACAGATATCAAACCGGAAAACATTTTAGTTTGTATTTCTGATTCTCAAATCCGTAGAATGGCAGCCGAGGCCCTCGATGCTCAAAGACGAGGTGTACAGTTGTCAGGTTCCGCAGGTGAGATTTGTTAGTAACAATTTATTAATTGATTAGAAAATGGAGCTTAACTGTATATATGTACAGAATAATCTAGCGAGTCAATTTATCATATTCAGTAGTATCCTAAATCTTCTGGTGGATTAAACTACAGCTCTTTACGGGGTTGTAATACTGTGATTCATAAGTTTCAATACCTAACTTTTCACTATCGGTAACACGTCTAGTTCATTTTTTAGTTATGTATATTCAAATACGCGATTGATATAATCGTTTCAAAGCCATACATACAAGCCTGTATTTAATTACCAGACCGTAACATATCATTAAAATGGGGAGAATTGAATCTTAAGACAAGTCATTTTGTAGTATACACTAACTACCAAATGTTTCATAAAGATATTCTAGTTTTTCATGATTCGCATAATTAAGTTTTATTTCCTCACAGATTCACTAGATTGTGATAGCACTAATTATTAAACATTTTGTTTAAGCTGTTATTGTTTGTTGCTTATAATCACTAACAATGAGTCCATTAACGTAGATATTGTGTATGTTTAACAATCATTAACTCAAACAATACTCATCCGTCCCTAATCAACTAACCATAACTCCGGGATGGTCGCTTGTATTTTGTATTACTAAAACTTCAAGTCACGTGATTGTATACGTAAAGTATGAGACCATAAGCCACCATAACCAATAGATTTCAATATACATAAAACTGAAGTATGTTTAGCATAAATCTAAGTAACTGCTTTATAGTTAATTCATCAATTAATGAGTGATACGAGATGTAATAGTTAGTGAGCCAAATAGTTTAAAATTAGGATTTTATACAAACACCGTAAACCATTTATTTAGTAAATGTCATTGAGATGTGGACTAAATCCTCAGTGAATAACTCAGTTTTATGATTCAGAGTTGATAACAGTAGTGCAAGTGTATCCATTATTTATCGTTCCTTGAATTCATCTCCGAGTAGCATCATCCATTATCTAGTCTTTCTCATTGTCATTATATTCATTATATTGACTTTTGTTAACTTGGTCTCGTGGTGTCAACTTGGTATTGCATCTAACTCATACTTGTACTAGGCTCCATAAATGATATGGTTATCCTCACAATTCTAAAGTACTGTTTGCTAACTATTCCTCAAATGAACTTATACACTGTTCACACTTTATTGGAAACCGGTCACTTAAGTAGATCTTAGGGGTGATTTTATCCGGGGTTCTCAAGTTTGTGTTCACTTACTGATTTTCTTTGTGGCACTGTAGAACTCTTGCGTTGTAATTTTAACTCATTATAGCGTAACCTTTCAAGTCATGAGTTAATTTCGTTTTATCTATACTCTTGCTGTCCTAACTTATGACTGTTCTAATCGTTCCAAAAATTTGCGCATTTCGTTGAATATTTAAATGCTGACATAATGAGTAACCCATTTATTGACACCTGCAACTGTTCAAGCTGTTCGATCATCGTTGTCTCCGAAGGATTGCTGACATCCAGTAGCAACACCATGTTAGTAATGCAGAGGTTCGGCATCGTGTGTTCGGGCACAGAGACGATAATGCAATTGGTGTCACCATCTTGAAACACCGACTCCGGTGGCTTGGACATGTTCTGCGAATGTCGTCCCAGAGAATTTCATGTCGTGCATTACTTGCCGACGCTGGGACTGGTTGGAAGAAGCGGAGAGGTGGTCAGTGTATGACATCGTGTCGTGGCATGAATGAAAGCTGCAAAGGACTGGTTTCTGTCGGTCCTTCACGACTCTCTGACTGGGGTCCTAGAGATGGTGCGACACAGTGGCTAGAAACGTTATCAGATATGACTCAGAATAGAAGCCAATGGCGATTCTGCTGTAACCTTTTAGTTTCATAAAAAGTGGTTGCTTCTTCCTTAACTGAAAGATCTCCGATTGTGCATTTTCGTTTTCACGATTATTTTTATTATTACACTTCCTTACACTAATCTGTACGTTATTGTTCCTTTTCTTCTTTTACGCTCCCTACTTTTTTCTTCTCTTCAAATCCTCATTGTTTTGTGTGGTGCATATGTATTTGGTGCCCTCTTGTACCAATATTTATGTGTTCAAATAAATAAATAAATAATTTTTTAGTTACATCGAACTTATTCATTGGTAAGTCACTGCTAAACATCAGTGAAATCTATGTAGGGTTTTACACATCTTTTAGTCTGCTACCCAAGTTTCTCAATTATAATGTGGAGCAATTAGGTGGTTAAGACATCCAAGTTTTCGCACTAGGTCTCAGGTTCGAACCTTCTCTATTCACTTCATTCTGGGCACCCGAATGGTATCATTATTCATCACAGGTAAAGTGTAACAAGTCGAGTACATGAATCTACGTAATAAAAAAACAAATCCAACTTATAAGGTCCATGAATCTACAATTGATTGATGATTGAGTTATAACCAATGCCATGTACGTCAATTCTTTTAGTGCTGATCGAATTATATTAATCAAGTTCATAAATTTTATAGATAGGATAATGAATACCCTTAGTAGGTTTTAACATGCTCTTCAAATACTGTTGGACTCCTATCCATTTTCTTATTTATACAGTGAGTACTGCACCCAAAGAAAAACAAGATAACATGAAGATGACAAAAAGTCGCAAGCGCCGTCTGAAAAAGCAACAACGAAAACAACAAGCACTTTTAGAACAGGAACTTGATGAATTAGAGGAATTGGAATCACAGGAGCATGAACGTCGTTTGTTGGATATGGGACTGATTCCTGCTGACAATGAACACAACCATGAAAAGCCAGAACAAGTAGATGAAAAGCCTAAAAGGGACTCAGAAGTATCCCCAGAACAGTCATACTCGAATGAGGCTAATACTACTCCCCCAACAGCAGACTCATACAATGCCAGTCCAAGCAAAGATTGTCATCCTACTACAAATAACACTGGTAAGTTACTGTTTTATTCATTCTATCTGTAAAAGATCACTAAGTTTCATTCATTTCATGATTGTCGAAGAAATCACTTATGGCTAGATTTTAGATTTGTAAAGACTTCATGATAGTGACTTGCTCTATGGTCGTCTTAATAGATTCTTAGTGTATCATTTTAAGCTTTCAGTTGGTTCCTCCTATGTAGGATATAAACCAGGTGTTACATAGTAGACCAGTTTGAAAGCTGATTTACATGTGTTTAATAACCATAAATTCAATTTTTAAATAATTGAAGATTAAGGGTCTCTTGTGTAACTGCTAAGATCAATGTCTCCACCAGTAAAAACAGTGAAAATAACAATAGGTGAGCTGAACTGAAGTAAGACTAATGTCCTGGTTTTTAAATCGATAGATACCATCAAATTTAATTTTGGAAACAACTGGCCATTGAAGTGAGCACTGATGGAGGAAACTTTTAGTTGCGACTACTTCATTTTAATTACTAATTGCTGTTAGCGAGTTAACTCATTTGTTTGTTTTATTTTTCACTCAATTTCCTGATGTAAAGCTTAACAACCTATACATAACACAATGTTCCTATACACCAATCTACTATTTATGTCGGGTTTTATATTTCAGTACTGTGTTCTAAAGTAGAACCCAAATATTAGTCATCGGAAATTTCACGAAGTTTAGTCCGGATTCATCTATTTATCTTCAAGTCTAGGATCGGTTCTAACTATTGATCAACTATTACTTTTAGCTTTATGACAACGACAAAATTCATATTTAAGAGCTAATTGTTAGCCATCACAGTTTAATTAATTAATCTGGCAGTAAACGACCTCATTGATGTCTTATTTGTTTGTCTGTGTATAATTTTTTCAATGAAAAGTAATGTTTGAAATGTCTACGTTAAAACTATTGTGTTCATAGGTTTTTGTATATTTTTTTGATGTATCAGTCATCATATAGATTGTTAATAATCTATCCCAACTTTTGAGTCATCTTAAAATTTGTTAAACTGCTGGTATCATAAATTTACTTTCAATTTTTCGGAGGCTGTCACGTTAAAAATATGTTGAATAATTAAATTTATATCTCCTGACAAGTGGCTCTTTTCACAAATCAGTTCTATGACTTAACTGTTCAGTTTTTTCTTGCCTCGACGATATCTAACACTTAGTAATGCTGTAATATCTAAGTTCCAATATTCGTTCTGTCCTATCCAGCAATATAATCCGGTCTAAGAACAGCCATCATGGTTCACCACCAAAGATCTCTAATATTTCGTTAACTGGTTTAGACCATTCATCTAAACTATTTGACGATTTTGCCTCATCAGTAGTTTGAGCAGTTTAACTTCGAAAATTCTTGTTATCTACTGTTCGTTTGGATGTGTAATCAGTTTTCCAACTGTTTTACCGTTATTGGTGTTTTTTTATTTCTTTAATCGACAATTTAGTGTACATGCATTACGTGCAAATAATTTATTCTTTATGATGCCCACCTATTGCCCATTTTATTGGACCAACTGTACTTAAAACTTGTTCGCAAAGCTTGTTACTGTGAACACTCGTACAGGAATCAAAAATACGTTCATTTTCATAAAGCAGCTGGCACTCATATGGTGCTGAAATATGCAACGCGAGGTAAAAAAATTAGTTTTCGACCTTTAATTCCACGTAAACCAACGAAACCACGTAAACTCAAGTCCCATGACAGAACTAGTATTCCCAAAATCAAGTGTTCAAACAGGATCGAAATTCTTATTATCAGCCTTTTTCAAAATAATATTCGAATCGCTTCACGCCTCGTCTTATTTCAGTCATAGATGCATACCCAAGAAAAACTCAAAAATCCCATTAAAAGGAACTAGTAATAAAAAGATTCAACAGGTATATTGAGGCATATGTAATAAGAACATTTTCTCTCTATCACCGAAACTTCTTGTCAATAACTCAGATTGATTAACTCTTCATCAGACCACTTACTAAGACTCCATCATCATGTCTACAATGCAGACGCCTAGCATACAAGTAAAATACAGACCACCTAGTCATCTGGTTAAGTGAATATTTAATTACGGAATATGAATCCCCGATAATTGATTGGATAGTAATATTCAAATTTTTAGTGCATAGCTTCATTATCTCTTACAGATCTGCAGGTCGTGACCATAAAACAGCAACGTCAAGACTTGCTTGCTTAGATTGGGAATGAAGATTGCAGCTATATCACTGAAAAGTTCACTAAAAGAAATAAGTCTAACAGGTGCCTTAACAGAACAACGACTTAAAATAAGGAATACTACTTGATCGTCTATGTAACACATTAGAGATGATAGGAAGCTCCCTTATTTTGTAACAATTTACTTCCATGGTGTAATGATAAGCAATGTGTTTCCAAATCTGTTCGTCGCAATGTTCGTATAGCAACTACCCTCAGGTGTCCCAAGAAATCGATTTTTTCTCCTGATAAGCTTCCTATTCCCGTTCGTAGAAAAAGCATAAAAACCCTTTCTTTCTTTGTTTTCGCCTGTTCTGGTAGTTGGTACAGTGTTTATGGATACTGCGCGTGCTGTTGTCTCGGTGTTAGGCTACGCAACCTCCATTCCATTCAAGGCTTGCAGCAGTATTTTGGAGGACAAGACAGCTCCCATTAATAACCCTCCTAAGATATCGTCCACTCAAAACGACGAGCAAAATTTTTCATGGTTAGGAAATCAGAATGATGTCCCAGGTTTCATCAGTTATGGAGACCCCAAAATTAAGATTCCTAGCCCACTTCAATCTGGACAAAAACGTACAGCTTCCATTTCTGTCGACTTCACTCCATCTGAGTCTTCAACTGTCTCCCATGCAGATGTTTGCAGTTCTCCGCCATATCGCTCATTTGTACACCTTGCTTTCTCTCCTCTGGCTGATCGACTAGTCCGGAAGTTATCCTGGCCATTTATCTTCAGTGAGTATTTTATTCCACATGTACATCAATGCATCATCTGCTTGCTTCTCAGTTGATGATCCGATTCCGATTAGCTGTTTTATGTTACCCTGGTAAACTGCGAATGCAACTCGTGATATCGCTTCAACAGTTCTCCTAGGTCAGTTTTTCTAAGCACGCACAACAATACCAAAGGACTTAACGATAAGGTGTTTTAGTCCATATTTCAATACTATCTACACACAGAATATGACGATAAAATGGAAATCGAAATGAAGTTATTGAGAAACTACAGAGGACTAAATGTAAATAAGAAAATCCAAATAGGGAATTCAAGACAAAGTGATTCGATATTCAAGATTTAGCAAGATGAAGATGCAACTGCTCTACTCTAACTAATTCCTAGTCAAATTCTGAGTTTTCTGCTAACAGATTTGGAAACTTCATTTAATCAACACTGATAACGTCAGTTAGTAAATTTGTAACACGTTACTAATGTGCAATACGTGTAAATGAATATGATTAACAACTTCGATCACAAGAAGTATCGACCGGTCACACTATACACTATACTTTTTAATTCTCACTATTATTTCCACGATATAGTGCTTCTCATGCGGACTAGACTATTCAGTTTTTCCACTCAATTTGGTGCTCTGTACTTGTTTATGAAAAGTGAATACCTCACTCTTAAAAATTTTAAATGTGTCGAAACATTGTCCATTTCGATCCTCAACAGTTCATCCAAGTTTGTTAATCACGACACTCAATAAAATTTTATTCTTCAAAATTACTCCTGTTGTGAGGTTATTCATCATTTTGGTTGCCTATCATTCTTACATATTGATAGCTTTCGCTCTTATGATGGTTATTTTCAGTGCCATCCATTGTCCATTTTTGAGACGTTTTATGTTCTAAGCATTACAACTCTGATATTATTGGTCAGACTGTCGTTTTGATGTTCAGAACATTCTTTCGCTAACCAAATATTAGTTAACTCTTACGGTCAGCATACTAAAAGCTAACGAACTGTCTCCGGTTGATCATCAATACAGTCGTGTTTTAGGGTTTTTGTAACCTTATGGTTTTCCCAGAAACCAGTAATATTTAGTTATATGTTTGCATTGAGGTTTTTGCTAACATTTCCTTTATACAATAATACTCGTTAAATTTTAAAGTTAATGCTTTGTCTCTTTTTGCATATAATTACGTCAACTTCCCATGTTTTATTTTAAAATCCTTCTAATTTTGTACTTTTTTTTGCTTTGATTAGGGTCACCCGACGTCTCTACAAAGCCACAATGTAAAAATGACACAGAAGAGTCAAAAGATCATACTAAACACAAACAGAATAAAGGTCCAACTGACTTGTCGGAAGAAAGTGATCAAGTAAGTTTTATAATATTCCTTATCGATTGTGGTATAATCTTCACTCTATCAGATAAACAAAACATTCATCTCTGTGGCTTGTGATGCAATTTTTGAACATATATCAAGACTAATCACACTAAATATCAAAAGTGCCTCAGTGATGCCTGTTACTAAATCACTGAATATCCAGTTTTCTACTTTTTAATAAGCGGTCATATTTCAAACATGCTCCTACTAAACTGGTATGAAAAGTCATGTCACAATCTTATTTGCAACTGACGAGTACAGCAGTGTGCCAAATTTTGAATCATACCATAGGATTTCCGTAATTAACTCATGGACCTAAAACCAGGTCGTATCTTACAATTAAACCTACAATCCTTGTCACATATGGTTGTAATACGTGGATACATGCAGCTTGTCATTATTATTATTCACCACAAGGCAACCACATCTACTCAAATCTTTTCATTCGCTTTGAAACTGATCGAAAATTGTGTTAAGCTAGTGCTTAATGTCCTAAATTTAATCTATTTATTATCTGAAGAAGTGGCTTACACTGAGTCGCGAAACGTCGGAAAATCTCATTTTTCTTCTACTCATTGGGATATTACAAATATATTAACTTATTTGTAATGCCTTCAATGGTTTCAAATTTGTGTATTCAAGTTTATATCTATTTAAGAAATCAATGACCCATGTGTTGATCCCCGTGGTAGATGAGAGAAACTAAGATCACGTCTCAGGTTAAACAAATAAAGCTAGTCTCACACAACAGTCACCTATAGAATTATATATACAGTTATACAAGATCTATCAGTCATCTTTGTTGTCTCCTGGTCACATCTATATTTTATCTTCTGAACTATCCATCTAACCGTCGATATCTTTGTATACTTTTAATTTACATACAATCGATTATTCATCTATAGTTTATAAGAAAAGTGCGTCCTTGCATCTGAGGTCTAAACGTTAAAATAGCATAGGAAGTAATCTTAGCTAAAAAACACTTTAACTAAATACCAGTTCCTTAGAAAATCTAAACGATATGAACTTTGAACAGTAAAGTATTAATTGGGGACCAAATACAGTAATTGTCTTATTTTGTAAATTTATAATTTTATATACTCATTCAACTTACAACATAGAGTTAACCATTTAACTACTGAGTAGTAAAAAAACTTGGATTTCTTTCTCTGCTCTTAATGCAGTACCTATTACTTACAACTTATTTTCAGATCGAGGTATTGCTCTATTTTGTGAAATCATTGATTTATTGATTTGAGTTGCATAGTGAATTTCGGAATTTTTGTTTGATCTGTGAAATATTTAACTGGATATTGTATGATATTCTCCTTAAATATTCGATTTAAGCACATATTCTTTAACATTCTGAAAGCTTTGAAGTGTCATCCCTTTAGTTTCCCATTATAATAATAGTAGTAATCATTATTATTTCCACTTATTTGCTTTTATCCTCGATTTATTAATACGAAGTCCGGGATTTTAGTCTAATACTGCACCCAGTTCAGACGTTTTTTTTATCTAACCATTAATCCATAGACGTCCAAAAATCGTGCTAATCAATTAAAGTCAAGCGAATAAATAAATAAAAGTTTTGAGCTCACAAAACTTTAGTGTGCTTCAGATTAGTCAGGCATTCTGTTCTATTTGGCGTATGATTTGTTGATTGAATGTTTCAACATACGGTTAAAAATCGTATTTAGAAAATGCTTCCACTTGATCCATAAGTATTGAAGGTGTAGGCTGTAGAGATTGTTAGCGTTAGTGTTGACAAGGATAGACTATGATGAAGGAAAAAGCATGATAGTCTGTTGTAAAAATTAACATGTTTCTGAATTATTGTGACTGGTCGCACTTGGTTTTTTTCATTTTTATAATTATCTTCAAATTGATTTTCATTTAGTTTATACGAGAAGACAACGAAAGTGGAAGTGGACTGGCTGTTCGTCGTCGAGTTAAAAAGCTTCCAGATCATTCTGGTGCTGCTGATGATAAGGCTGATACTCCACTGGCTCCTGTGACTGAACCACAGAAAACGTCAACTACTGGTGATCGTAGGTCCGTAATCATTCAACCAGATGGGCTTTTGGCAGCAGCTGCAGCATCAGTGATGTCTAGTACTTCTCATTCTCCACCGGAGTCCTCAGCAAAAGATGATCAAGGTCAGGTCAAATCGAATTTCACGAACTCGAGGTCAAACGGAACTGAAGGAAATGAAAGGAAACTTAATTCGGAGTCCAAATCAACTCTGACAGTAAACAATACTGGTGAAGGTAGTTCCAAACGGTTAAGTTTGGTTACACCATCTAATAACAATGCAGTTTCTGGTCAAAGTGCTTCAAACAAACGTCGATCACTGCTTTTCGAAACTGTGATACATGAACCTGATGCCAGTAAAGAGGTGATTTTTCTTAGCAATCTTTCTTCCTCAAGAAAATTACTTGTAACTAAAGATTTCGTATTTATAATACTGGAATATCCACATTTAAAGAGCAGATGTTTTGAAAAAATTCTAAACAAAATAGATTGTTTTAGCACTTGAAATTTGATACAATAGGTTTGTTTAAAAAATTCATTACGCCAGTCAAAATATTTATACTAGGACCCAAAACAATATTTTATTACATTAAAATCAACCTATCTAAGTTAGACAATCATCAATTAGGTGCTCACAACGTAGAACCTAGTACGTTGTTATGCCCCACTAGCAGAAGGGGGTGGAACTGCCAGGCCAAATCCCAGGATGGTGAAGAAAGTAAAAGTATCAGTGGTAATACAGAAGATTAGAAATTGGAGATACTATTCGAAAACGAATTATAAATTAGTGAAATAAAGACAAAAATGTTACGAGGATTCGGAAGCTTAGAAGTGAGAGGAAAATGGATACACCTGTGCCATTTCAAATGAATCGAGCGATGTCATTCAAAGCCTCTTACCACTGGTTGCAATAATCACACTGATCCTAACCAGGTAATCCATACCTATTAACGTGGCTCAGTCTAATTGTCGATGATTTCATGGACTGATGCCACGTTTTGGTTTGACCACCCCTCGCTTTCTTCCAACTTACTCCCATACCAGGTATGGAGTGGTTGGGGATACGTGACACATGTGCATATTACCTCAGTCGATGAAGATTTACTACCTCATCGATCGATTTCCCATCTTTCCTAATATACTATCCCTAACACAGACATTAATTACTCAGTGGTCCGAAGACACCTATGATCGAATATTAGTAACGACCACGTCTCGCAGTCATAAAGCAGAACGGAGCGAACTGCTGCGCATCAAACTCGCCCTTTATTCGTAAAACGTATCTCACCTATTCCAAAAATGACGCAAGTTGCCAAAAGCCAATCGAACCTTTTCAATCCGTGCCGAGATTTAGTCAGACACCCGACCACCAGTACTGATATGTTCAACTACTTCAGTCCCTATCATTAATTCAGGCGATGACGCAAGCCAATCCTAATGTAAGATTTTACATTTGGAGGGGGAGAACCACATATCAAACGTGCTTGCGTTTTTATTTAAGTTGATCAAACTGCATCTTGTCAGCATCCTCAAATAGAACTATATCATCTGCGCATTCGAAGTCAACAAATAAATCTCTTGGTAGATGAATCCTTGAAAAGTCCGACTATAGAGATTTATACCTAATAGCATATCTGTGATGTTAAATAGAAATCGGTAAAGCGAACAACCCCAACGAACACCAATTTAAGTAACTAATTCCGATAACATTTCTCCATAAGTTCTGAATCGACCAGTAGTGTTCGAATAAAGTGAGCCTGTCTAAGGTTTATGTACTCATTTGGTACACCGTTGAATGACAAACACTGTCACAGAACCTGACGATCAATGGAGTCAATCACCACCTTAAGGTCAAGGAATACAACTACTGTTAAATGTCGGAAAGTATGTCTATGTTCCAGAACCTAGCAAAAAGTAAGTATTTGGTCTGCATCCGCGTTCAGGTCTGAGACCAGCCTGGTTTTCTCTTCACGAGCTCTAGTTGGGCGTCGAAGTATTATTGAGGCTAATAGTTTTAAACACTGTATTATTAGTATATGGTTATGGAGATTATTGGGTATGGGGCACTCCAACGTGGACAGTGGATGATGGTTGCGTAATATCGTGAGGATGCATTTGATACATTACGGTCAAAATAGGTGTTTTGTTCGGTCTTATCATTGTGAGCTATTGTTTTATACGAGTGTGCTATCTGATTAATCTCGAGCAATTTCAGTTGTTATTATGAACAGTTAGTGAATAATCCGAAGTTTGTTCGTTTCATCCATAAACTGAAATTATTAGATTGAAGGCGTTTCAATATAATAGTTCACAACTTTCAATTATCTGATAGTTGTCAGCTTGGGTTATGGTTGTAGTTACTCTTGCGCAGGTGAAATGCCGACTCGTTCTTTTAGACTCATTTATTCGACTTTATTCATTGTACTGTGCTTTGTTTATTCTGCAGCCGTGTGATATTGAAGTGAAAATCGCCGATTTGGGTAATGCATGCTGGACTTACCGTCATTTTACTGAGGATATTCAAACTAGACAGTATCGAGCCTTGGAGGTTCTCATTGGCTCCGAATATGGACCACCCGCAGATATTTGGAGTACGGCTTGTATGGTATGTGTTTTTTATGTTTCGTCTAAATAAAGATTTATATCAGTTCTTTTTAATAACTCACTGTACAAGTTACATAGCACTTCAGACGTACTCGTTTTTGCTCATTACCGGTACATTGAATCTGTACAAAAGTACTCAATACACTTGTGGCAATATGACGAACTTGGGTGTAACTTCTGTAATTAAATTCAAATTTTACCAAACAACCAGTTTTTAATTTATTCAAATACTCTAAATCATCACTATGCCCACAACACAATTACATTTACTTGGTTCTCATCAAACTAAAATATTATGTAAACTTGTGGGAAGATTTGCAGTATCACTTGGGAGAGTGATCTTTTTACACATATTCCAATGTATAGAGAGAACGTAATAAAAAAGAAATACATTTCTGATTCAAGACAAAAATTATTTTCCTTACACTTATTGTTCTAAAGATGACGTACTATTTCAAGGCGAAACATAACGTCACGTGGCTGTTCATCGTGACTGGATTAAATAATAATAGATTACAACAATATATATATATATATAACGGCTTACCAAAACCCATTATTAGGTCAGGGATTCAAGTCTATTTTAGACTATCAGCAGGTTTTTAAGCATCACAGATATGAATAATTGAAAGGACCGTCACAGGTTCTCCCGATTCTATTCAGTTCAGGTTATCCATATGATTCAAGTGAACTGTCAACTACATCATCGACTAATAACATTAAGTCACATTCCTGCCGTAAGGTCACAACATAAAGTGACCGCCATACTTAATTCAATGATTACATGCTCAGTATATGCGAATTATCTCGTAATACATCTAATTTCTATTGCATATATTTCACAAATTGCTAGGACTGTAAAGTTTTGCATTTTTTAAATTTATCCTCTAAAATCATTAATTACGATCAGCGTGGTATCAGCGACCATAAGCAAACATTATTTAAGCCTTACAAATTCTCGTTATCGAATCTAATCCATCCTTTTCTTCATCAAATAATCAACTTAATGTATTTTATCCATGTTCTACTAATCAAACTAACAATTCAATATAGTTTATATCCTTGATTGATTCGCGTCAACTATCTTGTGAAAATTTCGCTGTAAGTCAAATATCCATCAAAGCAGAAAGCAGATCCTTAGATATTCCAGAAAGCATTTGCCATTACAAGAGTTGATTATGTGTGCATCCAGTTTGCACCGAACACTCTCAATCCGTAAACATTGCAACCAAAATATATAAAGAGCTACAAGGTAATGTATTCCATCTAAATCAATACATGCCACAGATAGTAAATATTTCGTATCTAATGTTAACAATGATTTCAGTTTTGTTCTCTGTCAACGTACGTACGAAGATCTACGTTGTTACTGACTGACTGATTGACTTTGTCAACCAGTTTAATTACAGTTGACTTCTCAATAGATTATATATATATATATAGTATTTGATCATAGGTGTCTTCAAAATATTGCTCCTATATCCTGGGACCATCGAGTAAGTAACGCAGTTGTTAGGAAACGGGTACTAGGTAAGGATGGCAAGTCGATTGATGAAGTAGTGAAACTTGATCAGTTGAGATGGCTCGGACACGTGTTACGTATGCACAACGAACGACTGCCTCGACGTGCGATGTTCATTGGTATAGGAGTAGGTTGGAAGAAAGCTAGGGGCGGCCAGACCAAAACATGGCACAAGTCCATGAAGTCACTGACAAGTGGTCTGAGTCATGTTGGTAGGTGTAGACTACCTGGTTGGGGACCTCGAGATGATAGCAACCGATGGTTAGAGACCCTGAATGATATGGCTCAAAATCGTTTGCAATGGCGCAGGTGCATACACTCTTTGTGTTCTTCCAAATTTTAATCTCCCGACTCCTCCTTGTCTCTTTTTTTCTCTTCTCAAATTTATTTCACTCTATTATACTTCTTGAATAACATCGTCAAACCTTAATGTTTCCGATTACTGCTTATACTCTTACTACCTCTATCACTACGGGATTTGAATCGACCACTGCATCTCTGTGCTAATGTGGTATGGCGACTTGAACTGATGTACGTACGCACGAAGTTCTACGTTGTTACTGACTGACGGACTGATTGATATATAACACTTCAATTACCTTTTTCTATTATAGGCTTTTGAATTGGCTACCGGTGATTATCTTTTCGAACCGCATTCTGGCGAAGATTATACACGAGATGAGGACCATCTAGCACATATCATTGAATTATTAGGCCCCATACCTAGAAATATTGCTCTTTCAGGAAAATACTCCCGTGAATATTTTGATAAACGAGGTACGTTAATGAATTCTCTTTGCTAAACTTAAAAATAGTTTAGTATCAATATTTATTTATGTTAACTGCTCACTTTAGATTCAACCTGTTCTTAACAAAAATGACAGTTCACATAATTGTTATTTAGTCATTACCGTTCCAGCTATCCATTAAGATGATGGATTAATGTTTAAAGCACTTTGTTTTCAGTTATCAAGTCACAATACCTACTTTTGTTTGAACAACCTCATAGTATTACTAACCTCCACAGACAGACAGTGGGATTCAAAACCGAGTACATTATTCTTTGCTTGGTCGATAAGTTACATTAATCAGTACTTTTAAGTAAACCATGAGGTTATTATCTAATTGCACAAAAAATAAAGGTTTGTTCAGTTTTATTTTGTGTTCTTGTCAAAGGTTAATATAAAAATTGAAATCACAATATGAACTTTCCTTTGATTCCAATCATCAGCTTGTTTACGTCATATACATCGCTTGAAACCTTGGAATTTATTTAATGTCCTCACTGAGAAATATGATTGGCCACCAAGCGAAGCGGCTCTTTTCACCAGTTTTCTGGAACCAATGCTCGCGTATGATCCTAATAAAAGAGCGTCCGCGTGGGATTGTTTACAACATTCCTGGATAACTGGTCAACCGTATTCTCCATCAGTTGAGGAAGGCCTACCAAATCATATCCCATTTGGAGTGAATATACCAGATCCATTGATGGGTGACGTTTTATCTAATCCTAGTACATATTACCATCCACATGTCAATCAACCAAATATTGTAGATCCCGCAAACGCTGCTGGCTTGTGTTATAATCAACACCCGCACTTAAAAAAGCAATACCCGACAGTTCATTGCGTTGCTCCACAATCTAGAAACAGTCGTTCTGTCAACTACATACCACCTGAACTATCTTTCAGTGGAAATGTCAACCCATCTGAATATCACTTATCTTATGGTTCCGAAATGGTTATGGGTGGGGAAAGTATGCCGAATCGTAGTATGTGTGTACCAGATTCTCACTTTCAACCGTGGTCTTCAAAACTCATGGGCTCAAAACGACTAGATGTTGTTAGCAATGTGGACGGCACAATAAATTTAGATGTAAGTTTTTTTAACCCCCCTGATGTATTTCTAGTTTATACTTAACGTTGAACAGGATTCAACCATTTTGATTGAATGCCAATTTATTTCGTCCGCCTAATCTGTAATCCTAAACCTTGATATTATCCACATGGAGGTTCTATTGACTACAATGGTCATTTTATCCAAGTTAATAGAAAAAAATTACATATTTACCAATTCGCACGGCTTATGACGCAAATTAAATAACTGCCTGTAAATAAATGCCTAGTATAATGGGCTGTTGAAAGTGATTTATGAAAGTAGGAGATATACATGTATAATCATAAGAGGCTTCGAAATGTTGCTCAATTATAATAGGACCACTACGTAAATAATCCTGAGGTGAAATGTAAGGGTATCTTGTAAAAACGTACCAGTTGATAAAGTTGTTAATCCTCATATATGGCACCTGGTACCTGTGTTACATGTTTAGCCATCTGCTATGATGCGTATTAATGGCTATCTTAGGCACTGGTTTGATGAAGGTTCGAGAAACTAAACAAAAATGTAGAACCAGTTTTGAAGTTACATTTAGACATGAGGATAGGTTCATAATTCTCAGGTAAGGTCCCACCGAAACCTGGATCAAGATTCGTCCCGATTGGCGTAGCTAGATTCGTTGTTTATGTCCCAAATCTGTTATTCCACACGTTCTATACCCTTTCTAATTTCATTCGTTCCCATATTTTTGTGTTTAATATTTTACAATCATGGATATTACCATTATCTTGACACCGCTCCTAATCTCGTTAACCCCCTCTCTCCGCTCTGTTATGAAATGTGGTCACTTACACTAATGGATGCCAATTCCAGGACATATTCTGTTGATTACTGGACTGTTTGTTCTACACATGTATTCCTTGCTTAAAAGCTTATATCTACAGAAGTCGAAGAAATCATATTGTAAAATATTGTTAATGAGACAGTTCGGGACTGATAAACAACTCTTAGTAAGTTGTTTTAGTATTATTTATTGAAACGTTTGAATAATTCATTACCCCCAGTAAGACAGTCAAAATATATTTAAAGAAGCCACACTGAATGTTTTTTTTGATTCAGTGTTTTAATGTCGATCTTAAAAGTATAACATTCATACTGTTTTCTTTAAATTTTACACAATTAAGATAATGTTCTAACTGTAATCGTTGTATATTTTCCACACACGTTCAGATATACTAAAAAAAGGAATATGGTAATCGGTTGCTACCATTTTTATATATAAAAATATTCCGTCCCATTGATCGAATATTTTTTTCACTGTACTTGAAAAAAAACAGTATTTACCTAAATCCATGTTTACACCTATTAATTTCAATGACTTCATTGAATCGAAACTATATAGAAAGTTCAGATATACTCATATACTTCCAACAAGAAATCACCATTCATTTGATTGTTCAGATCTTTGTTTGACAGCAAACCAGTTATTCTACGCGTTTATTTCCATGAATATATTATTCTTTTGTCTAAATCCGTTTCACTAGATGTGTCCGTTTTTTCCTTTTCTTTTACAAGCCTGTTCATGTTGGAAATTTCATACACAGTCTACCAGATCTCAGTCCTGCTCCTAGCGATGACGATTATGACGAAGAAGATGACGATGACGACGAGGATGATGATGATGAGACCAAAGAAGGTGAAGAAGATGAGGATGAAAGCGGAGATGATGAGGATCCTCGGATGCATTCGTTACACCATCATCATCGTCAACATCATCATTCGCACTATTATGGACATCCATCTAATACATCATCTGTTTACCAATTTTTGGATCCCCCTCATATAATGCCAGTAGAATCTTCTGATCATTCTCATTATGCTGACCCTTTAGCTATGGCAGTAGCTGCTGGACTACCACCTAGTAAAGCTGCTATACTAGCTTATGCAGCACAAGCTCTTGGACCAGATACTGTTTGGGCTGGTTTAGCTGCAGCAAAAAAACGTCAACAACAACAGCAAGTGCAACCAATGAATAATACAGAAGAGACAACTTCCGATTCACTTACTAATAATGATCATGTAATATTAACTACCTCAACTATAAAAATTGATGATGATGGTACACCATGTAACACTGATTCGTTGCAACAACAAAAGAAAGAAATAGATAATGAATTGCATAACAGTGGACTTGATGTAGAAGATGTATCTAATTATTTCTCAACTTCACTCGAAGTACGTTCTGCTACAAGTTCTACAACCGAAGATATATCTAATACCCCCGACTATGTGAATAATATATCAGATATAAGGAATTTTGATTCTGAATTACAACGTACAGTGAGTGAAAATATCACTCATCAATATACTGAACCGACGGAAACACTTACAGAAGCTTAGTTTTAAAATTCCAATTTATCTGATCTCTATCTCCTGTTTCGTGAGAACCACCTATAGGCTTTCATTTTATTACTCTTATCTTAAAGCATATTCACTACTATCTCATAAAACAAAACAATGACGTTTGTAATTTGAACGTTCTTGTTAGAAAAAGATTTTCATCTTATTTAATGATGTCTATTATTATTATTATTATTATTATCAACATCATATTGATATCAATAAATTGAAAGTTTGATGAACACATTCACCAAGTAGTAATGGTGGTGTATCTGCCAATTATATCTTTTTTGTTTTTAGTTTACATTCATTATTTCCCTCGCCACGTAGTTGGTTTTTATATATTATATAAAACAGCCTCGTAAACTTTCTCTTTATATATATATATATGCATACAAAGACGTTTCAATTTACTTTTCGCTTTTATCTAATCCAACATATCTACCCTCTCTCATAATTTATTTGAAATATATTGCACCAAGACCAGATATAAAACCTGATATATATATTGGTTTTACTAACTACTGTACTATTCTTGTCAATAATTTTGTCATTTCTCTTCATTTTTCCCTTCATGTACAACAACCTGGACCTTTAATTGTTTTAACATTGCGAAATTTCCAGTATTTGTAGACATTTCTATCGGCATAACCTAGGCCTTATCTGTACCGATATATATATATATATATAATTCTCATTTAGGTTAATCATTTTGATCCTATACAAGAAAATACCCTTTGCATATTTCATCGTTACAAAGCACTACCCCACCCTTTTAACAGTCCAATTGTACGTTGTAGTTGCCCAAATTCTTTCTAGCAACTTCATGCGGACTGTGTTGTAAACTATACTCTTGTCATTAGTTTTTTTGTGTGCTTCCATTTTCACAGAAATCGTTATTTGTTTGCGCGCGTTTGTATATCTATGAACATAGCCACTGCTGCGCATGCCGTCCCGTCTATTGTGTTATCAAGCGCGAAGCAGTCAGTTCTGTTTTGGAAACTTAAGATTTAACAACTATTTGCTAAAAAAGATTATTACTATTATCATCACTATCAATACTATCACTAACTGACAGCTGATGTCATTTTCTTTTTTTCATTATTCCTATTTCTGCAAAACCGCTGAACTATTCATATTTCAACATTAGAAGACTTATTCAAATAGTCATGTTATGCATTTTGAAATTATGTGATTTGTTGAACATTACATTAAAACTGTCATAAATAGAAAATATGTGATCTAATGCCAATTTATGCGACTCGTGTTTATACTTTGTTCTTGTTGTAAGTAAATATTCATATGAATGCGAAAATGCCTTAATTCCACTGCTATCTCATTTCTTTATTAACTCATACAATAAACAATCAATGATGGTAGTGGAACTTATTATAAACTATTTGAAAATAATTGGTCAGTTTTTGTTCCTAATTTTCATATATATATATATATACACTAAGTTATGCACATATACGAGTACTCATGTTCCACCATTTGTCCCATGTTTGAAATCGTGTTATATTGCCGAAAAAATTGATGATAAATATGATTTCCAAACTTTGTTAAGTTAGGTGTGATTGTTTTTTTTCTTGTGTGCGTGTATCTGTGTACCTACACTATCGACTATCCTTAAACAGATGTTCAAATGAATTTGGTTGTACAATTTAGTCGGTCATAAGATTTCATGATAATTGATAACAACCCTGTTGCCATTCAAGACTTCGTGATTTGTCTTGTTTTCTCTGTTGATTTTGTGTGTGTTTGCTCTATCTTAACTAGTCAATTGTTACCCTAATAACTATACTCCAATCAAATTGGTTCGATCATTAAAATACGTCATTTTCAACTGTGCAAGAAATAGATACGTAAATCTGTCTTCTTTTTATGAATCTGGTTTTATGGGAATACTTATTTTTTTGGTGGATATTGGATACATGTTCAAGTCCAAACCTGGTTATAGTTATCAGAAAAAAAATGGATTTATATTGTGAATGCTTTTAAAGTGGTAACGGATGTTTAGTTCTATACTACGTTTATTCTCCTGTCTTTGGACGGAATATATGTAATCATTATAACATGATCAATAAAGCCATCGCATCGCGCTTGATTAGAAATAAAATTAATTCAGCTAAATCACCGAGTACGCGCTTGTAACCTGGACGTAAAGCAACTTTTACTGTAAAGGCAAGTAATGTTACTTATTGAGTTACACCTGATATTCCTCGTAGAGGAGTGTCAGCCCTCTAACAACATACTCTATCGGACCCTGTTCTGGACAATCCTTTCCAGCTGCTATTTGTCCTGATGTCTGCTTCCCCTTCCGGAGGCCGTGTGTCATTTGGTTTTCCTTTTTTCCGTTCCACTTCAACATTATCCGCTATCTCCGTTTTTGTTCAAATTCATCATAGACCTACTGCTGGAAATAACGTTCTCGTCGACTGAATTCTCGAGCATTGATCTCCTTCCAGCAGATCCACTTATGGACTTAGAATACGCAGATGACGTAGTCCTGTTTGGTGAGAACGCTGATAAAATGCAGTCTTTTGGTGGCACTGAGCAATAATGTCAGAGTGTTTGGGGTGCGTTTCTCGTCTTATAAATGCAAGTTGTCTCAGGAATAGCCTGCGTCAACACCTGAATTACGGATAGGGAGTGAAGTAGTCGAACACGTTGACAACTTCACTTATCTTGGAAGTCTGATAAGCCCTAATGGGTTGGTTTCTGACGAGATTTCTACACGAATTCAAAAAAGCTCATTTGACTTTTGTCGATTTGCATCACCTATGGCGAAGGCGAGATATCCATCTATCAATTAAGGGACGAGTATACTGCACAGTTGTTCATTCTGTTTTACTTTATGGCTGCGAAGCGTGGCCATTAATAGTAGACGATACTCGTAGGTTACTAGTTTTTTGATCGCAGACGTCTTAGAAATATTGCTCGCACAAAGTCACTAACGTCTAGTCTTAGCCATGTTGGTAGATGCAAACTACTTGGTCGGGATCTGCGTGACTGATTTAACCTATGGTTGGAGACATGGCTCAGAATCGATTACAGTGGCTTCGGTGTCTACACTCTTTGTCTTCTCCTAGACCGTGAATTTAAAATTGCCTTATATCTTTATACGAGCTAATTTTTTCTTCCTATACTATATCCATATACACAATCTTTCTTTTATATATTACTGCCATTGAAGTAAGTACTTCCATAAATTTGGTGTTCATCTTGTTCTGCTAATGAAATTTGGAAACGGACCGTTGCATATATGTGCCTGGTCCTATGTTGTAACTGACTTGTAAGTTAATGCTTGTTTTGAGATGCAGTTTGGTGATTCCCACAATGTATATCCTAACGCCTCCAGCGTCTTTTAATTTCCTCTTCATCTGGAAGCTGGTTTGTTCTCTCCCGCAGTAGGTTGTTGCTGATGGTATCCAGCCAACGGCTATTTCGCATTCTGTGCAAATAATTGTTTATAAATTCTTATACCTTCTTGATGGTTGTGCTAATTTTCGTAGTTTAGCTCCGTACAGTCGAACTATCTTGACTTTTGCATCAAAGATACTCATTTTGATGTTGGCCTGCAAACAGTTGTTATGGGTTATATAATGTCTTCAACTGTAGGAATGCTGTTCTTAGTTTTCTAATTATCGCCTTCAGTTCTGTATCGTGTAGTTGCGTACAAGCTGTTCACTGTATTCATCGCTTCCCCTGCATGAGGTTTTTTCAACCCATTCAACTACTAGAAGAAAGAGAAATGTCGAGAGTAAGCAGCCCTGTCTGATACCGGTCCTCAATTAGAATGCATATCAGCTGTCCTTCATGCCGACTGCGGAGTGGTCTGTTTTGTATGCTACTTATATTGACAGACATAAGTAGTATGTAACCAGTCCGAAGTGGAAAACGTAGGAGCAGAAGGCTAAGAAGATACGGATGGAATTGTGAACTTTAAGAATCATACAGAATGTGAAGAATGAATAACGGAAATTTGCGAATGAAATATTCACTTTATGGTTCGTATATGCTCTGTACTTTTGTAATAAAACGCAATTGCTTATCCCTACATCTGTTGTTGTTCACAACAGTCCGTCCTATGAATATTATATGACTTTCATAATCCTCTATAAGTTTTCCTATTCACACCACCAAACGCCTTACCATAGTCAAGAAAGTGACGGATTCCATTCACGTGATTGTTCAACGATGATCCGTAATGTCGCCTTTTGGACTGTGCACAACCTATCCTTATGGAATACTGCCTGTTACTCTCGAAACTGGGCATCTACTGAACCTTCCATCCGATTCAACAACGCTGTTGAAAACGTTTGCTCAGATCGTGTTTCTTTGGTATCCTGGTGAGGTGTGTTTCCAGTCCGTCGGCACGTGTTCCACCTCCCAAATCTTCATGAGCAGAACATGGAGCATGTTTGCATTTATTGATATGTTTGACTCTAGTGCTTCCGTTGGTATATTATCAGGTCCTTCTGCTTTATCGCCCTTGATTTATCTGATGTCCATCCTGATTTATTCGATTGTTGGTGGGGTGACATCCATAGGAAGGTCTGTGTGTGCAGCTTCGATATGCTGTACGTTTGGTGTAGTTGGTCTATTCAGGAGTTCCTCAAAGTGTTCCACCCATCTGTTCTTCTTTTTTTCAATCTCGATGATTGACCTCCCTTCTTTGTCGTTGACTAGTCTCTCTGGTTTACTATATTTCCTTACCAGTTCCTTCGTTGTGTCACAGCTGTTTGATATTTCCTTCTGTTGCAGCTTTCTCCACTGTCGTTGCTAGATCTTTCACGCATTTCTGTTTGTCGGTTATAATGATCTTTTTCATTTGCTTGTTTGCTTCAGTGTATTCAGTTTATGCCTTGACTTTCTCTGTTCCTGTTCGGCTGTTGTAAATTGTTGTCTTCTTATTCTTCCTTTCTTTCATCTTGTTCAGGGTTTTGATAGAGATCCATTCCTTATGATGATGCTTCTCGCTGCCCAGAACCTCTTGACACGTTGGAGTTAATGCTTCTTTGATCCCTTTCCATTTGTCCACCATAGTAGTTTCCTCTTCTTTGGGTAGATCTTGTAATGCTTGGTACTAGTTGTTGAGAGTTAACTTGAGTTGATTGAGTTTATCAGTATCTGTAAGGAAGTCTGTATTGAATGCTGTTTGTCTAGTTTTCTAGTGCTTATTTAGCTTCAGTTTCATCTTGGCAACCACCAGTTGGTGGTTATCTAAAGCTATGTAACTGAAATCCGCAATTTAGACGTTGTTAAAATGAAGTGGTTATTCTTTTTTAATTTAAATACTTATTAGTAAAGAGGATTTGTAGATATCATAGAGTTTCCATAGTTTATATCATTGAGTTGATCTTGGGTAGATCACTACTGTAGACTGGTGAGGTTCAACCATGGGGGGCTCGGATTGCTCAGTCGTAACGTCTCTGACTGTGATGCTGGGTGACACGGGATGGAATCCGTCAGGGAGCACCATTTCCCTCAAGATTACAGGTATACCTTGTTGACGAGTGCCAAATAGCACGAAACTCGCGTCCAAGGTTTCCTGTTGACTACCTCCAACCACCCACTTATCTCAACATAGTGCACGCAGCGTCGAGTCACCTAGACTAGTGGGCACATTGCAACTTGGTCGATAGCATTCGATCTGCACTAAAAGGGACTTGACACACATGACAATGATCACCACACAGTGATCAATCAACTGTGATTAGTCCTATTATTTGCCCCCAAATGACCTGGTATGACCGAGAGCGGGTTGGGCTCACCCTCACTCTCGAAATACTCTCACACAGCCACGCGTATACAGCCTCTGCTAGGAAAGTCCTACTCACTGCCTTCTCGTGGCGGGCGTGTTGTTTACGAAAATGAGAGGACGAAAAGCGAAACCACGTGCATTTTTCGTGGTATGAAAGAAATCTGCAAAGGGATGACTTGCGTTGATCATTCACGACTCCCTGGCTGAGGTCCTAGAAATGGTGCAACGCCGTGGCTAGAGACGTTATCAGAACAGAAGCCAGTGGCAATCCTGCTCTAACCTATTACTTTCTTCGTAAAAAGTGGTTGCTTCTTCCTTAACTGAAAGATTTTTTCTGATTATATTTTTTCGTTTCCCCGTTATTATTATTATTATTATTATTATTATTATTATTGTTACACTTCCTTACACTAATCTGTACGTTATTGTTCCTTTTCTTTTTTTACGCTCCCTACTTTTTTTCCTTCTCTTCAAATTCTCATTGTTTTGTGTGGTGCATATGTATTTGGTGCCCTCTTGTACCAATTTTTATGTGTTCAAATAAATAATGAATAAATAAATAACCATGTGGGATATGAGGCGGTTATCCACCATTGGCGATAAATGAGGGTTGCGAAGCGCTGTAAATTGATTGCAGTTATATTTATACACTATTGAACGCTTGAGACCAAATACACTGGGTTCAAACACCTGATATGCAGTCGTGAATGAACATAGCTGACGAGTTCCATTCTAGTACGAAATACGAAGTACGGCATATCCAAACGCGATCGAGTGCTGATGTGTCACTGAGCCCCTTGTCCTGTGGGTATGTCCAGGAAATCTGACAAGATCACTATCATTCTCGATGACCTAGAGATCCTTTTATCCGGACGATTCGTGTTTATCAACACAAATAGCAAAATACAATTCCTAAATTTCAGTAAATTTAATTATTTTAATTGGAAGGCGTTAACATCTGTAAATGGTATCATATCACGTACTAATATCTAATGAAGTACTTTTGAAAACCATGGTAGCTAGTAACGTTGACCTGTAAGGAAAAAATTTTCCATGGATTTTCGCTGTATCTCCTACAAACGTCTCACAATAAACATAGTCGTTTACCCATTAATGTTCAACTTCAAGATGAGTTTACTAAGTTTTTAATAGGTAGTCATGGATGGTAGAGTTCTTCCACAAATCCTAACGCTTGATCCAACTAGCTATCGTAAAGTAGAAGTGTTTCAGAAGTCTCAAAAATATCTTTTAACGAGGCCCAGTAACAGACAACTCGCTGTCTGATCAGTGTTGAATACAATCTCCCCAGAAACATTTAGACAATACATAGAGGTTTGCTACGTTTTGATTGGATAATTAACTATGTGGCTACTACAGTTAGTATGGTTCGAGAAGATTCTAGAGCCTCAGGGCCGTTTGAAAAAAGTAAAAATAGCCTCGCTTTTCTATACGTTAACGAACTTTGGAGTAAAGCGTACCTTCACACTTTCCACCTTTTCTCTTGTGTTCAAGTTGTGTAGATTTAGCCCGCGGTTACTAGAAGGGCTTAGAAAAACCGATTCAAACGTTCAGTTGGAAGACTTCTCAACAAGACTTTTATTCCCAAAATTTAGTGGGAGTGAATATAACTCATGGGTTTAATTGTGTGCGTCTTCACTGACTCAGACAGGGACAACTAGACT